TATCGATATTTTCTATAGTGCAGCCCGTGCTGAACTGACCTACGCTCGCAAATTCATCACGGTGGATTAGATAGATTGTACTGCAGGCAGGCGCGATGGCTCACACGCGAGTATTTGCGTTCAATAGCTGAAAAAATAGCTTCAGCATAAAGCAACTGCGACCTGATTGTGTGCGAGGCCGCGTTTTACTGGGCGCTTGCACATATACGCACATACTGTGCACACACACGCACACTCAAGCACGCACGCACACCTGCGCCATAGCATACACACGCACGCACGCACACCCGCGCCATAGCACACACACGCACGCACGCACACCCGCGCCATAGCACACACACGCACGCACGCACACCAGCGCTATTGCACACTCACGCACACTCGCGCCATAGCACACTCACGCACACGCATCCACATACAAAAGCGTGTATGAGCACGCACAGGCAGCTACTAAACGTCTGTGTTACAATCGCCACGTATGAATATTTGCAGGCTCGTGGCGAGGTGGTTTGTAAAACACACCCATCGTTAACATCACCTACGACCTGCATTAGTCGCAACACCAAGGCAAACAGCAACGGTAAGTGTGTCTCACCATCTCACGTTCATTCGTGTACATGTGGCGCTTGGAGCGGGCCCGCAGTAAACCCTGAGTCATCTACAATGACCTCGGACGACTAGAGCGGGTATGGGATAGATGGGATAGATGGAATAGATGGGATAGATGGAATAGATGGGATAGATGGGATAGATGGGATAGATGGGATAGATGGAATAGATGGGATAGATGGGATAGATGGAATTAGATGGGAATAGATGGGCATTAGATGGATAGATCGAGGATAGATGGATAGATGGGACTAGATGGAGATAGATGGGAATAGATGGGATAGATGGGATAGATGGCGATAGATGGGATAGATGGGATAGTATGGTATAGATGGGATAGATGGGATAGATTGGAATAGATGGGATAGATGGGATAGATGGGGATAGATGGGATACGATTGGAAGATGGATAAGATGGATAGATGGATGTGTATAGAGGGATAGATGGATAGATGGGATAGATGGGATAGATTGGAATAGATGTGGATAGATGGGATTAGATCGGGATAGATGGGCATAGATGGGAATAGATAGGAGATAGAGGGATAGATGGGATAGAATGGATAGATGGGATAGATGGAATAGATGGGATAGATGGAATAGATGGGATAGATGGCCGATAGATGGATAGATGGCGATAAGATGGGATAGATGGGATAGATGGGATAGATGGATAAGTGAGATCAGATGGATAGATGGGGATAGATGGAATTAGATGGGAGAGATGGAATTAGATCGGATAGATGATAGATGGGAATAGATGGATAGATGGAATTAGGTGGATAGATGGATAGATGCGGAAGATGGGATAGATGGGATAGCATGGGAGTGAGATGGGATAGAATGGATAGAAGGGGATAGATGGCGATACGATCGGGATAGATGGCGATAGATTGGAATAGAATGGCAATAGATGGGATAGAATGGGATAGATGGATAGATGAATAGATGGGATAGATGGGAAGAGGGATTAGATGGCGATAGATGGGAATAGACTGGGAAATAGATGGGATTAGACTGCGGATAGAATGGGATAGATGGGATAGCATGGGATAGATTCGGGATACATGGGATCAGAGGATAGATGCGCGATAGATGGATAGATGACGATAATGGGCATAGATGGAATAGAATGCGGATAGATGGGATAGATGGGATAGATGAAATAGATGCGGATAGATGGTATAGATGGATTAGATGGGATAGATGGGATAGATGTCGATAGATCGGAATAGATGGGATAGATGGGATAGATGGATAGAGGGATAGAGGGATAGATGGATAGATGGATAGATGGATAGCATGGATGATGAATAGATGTGATTTAGATGGAATAGATGGGATTAGATTGGATATAGATGGGATAGATGGGAGTAAGATGCGGATAGATGGGATAAGATTGCGATAGATGGATAGATGGATTAGATGGGAATAGCATGGCGTATTAGATGGGATAGATGGATAGATGCGAATAAATCGGATAGATCGGCGGATAGATGGGAGTAGATGGGATAGATGGATAGATGGATAGATGGCGATTTAGATCTGGATAGATGGAGATAGATGGGATAGATGGGATAGATGGGGATTAGATGGGATAGATGCGGATAGATTGGGATAGATTTTTCGGGTAGATGGGATAGATGGAATAGATGGTGATAGGATGGTGATAAGATGGATAGATCGGGGGATAGATGGTATAGAGGGATAGATGGATAGGATGAACTAGATGGGAAGATGGGATAGATGGGCGATTAGATCGGATAGATGGGATAGATGGGATAGATGGGATAGATGGGATAGATGGGATAGATGGGATAGATGGGATAGATGGGATAGATGGGATAGATGGGATAGATGGAATAGATGGGATAGATGGGATAGATGACAGACAGAGTAGAGGCAGGTAAAATAATCAGATAAGATGCGAGATAGAGACACATACACGCCCACACATCGATGGCACACTGACCCGCCGTCCGTGTGGCCGCAAACCATGCACGTTACTGCATCGGTTTTAGACTGTTCTAAGCTTTTAAACACCTAATATGTTTTGTCAAAACTTATTCATAATTTATTGACAGAACAAATCGTTTCGACTCATCTATTATTTAGTGGCAGTTTAGCGGGACTAGTCATATTTGATTTTGTTCGTCCGTGCTCGGTCTCTAGCTGCTTGTCTGACGCAGCTAAAAGCTTACACGACGTTCTCTCTCTTCTCTTAAAATAAATTGGTTTCGTTTCAAATTTGCCACGTGGTGGCTGATCCCTCTAATGAGAATAGCGCCACTAATATTTCATCGTGGCTTTGCACGGCAGCATTTCCCTCGTCGCTGCACTTACTCGCCCGAGCGGCAACTCATCTGAGAGAATGTTTAAGGGCACTCGGGCTTTTTCCGGCTTTGCTGCGCATGCAAGCTGAATTTTTGTACGAACCGCGACTTCGTTCTCGTGCGGCAGTCTCAGGGGGGAATCCACTGATGCAGACGTCGTTACATGTCTCCGCGGCAGCATACAGCAGCAGACGACAGAGTAAAGTCGCTCACTGTTAATCTGTCATCCGGGAAATACCGGGGGGGGGGAGGAGGAGGGCAAGCAGCAGCCGCGCATGCGCAGTCTCCGTAAGCTGGCCTCTGACGGTTAGACTTGCCTTGTATCCGCGTGTATAGGGGGGTGTAGGTAGGTAGTGTTAGGATTATGGCAAGGGTCAAGGTTACGATTAGTGCTAGGAATTATGGAATGCGCAATATCCCCATCCCAACCCTATTCTTAATCATAACCGTATTCTTAATTCTAGCTTTAATAGTAAATCTATGACAGTAATTTTATTGGCCGCCCTGGGTGACAATTCTTCCTGCCTCTCGTAGGACAAACTAAATCGCGCAGCATGGATAGGATGCCTCGCGCCTACTCGACCGACCTCCCGAGTCCCAGCTACCCTGACGGCACTGACGTCATCGGTTGGAACAAGAGTCCACGGAGAAACGCGTCCAGTCACAGCTTATCAAGAGACGGCAGCCTAGGGAAACTGAAGAAAGAGAAGGCGTTCGGCTCCCTATCACGTCTCTTCAGCAAGCGACCGCGCAAGCACGGAGACGCGTGTTCATCCGGTGAGTATCACATGTACGTGTAAGACGTAATAATACGTGTAAGATCTCGGCAACCACGCTGTGCTTCACAAACGACCTTCATGGTGAAGGTGCATGACGTTGCTAGAGCAAGCTGCTTCGCTGTGTATACGCGCGAGCGCGGTGTGATAGCACATTGACGGTACATACACGTTTACTAGCCTTATTGCGTCTAGATGTAAATGGTTGTTCTTGAGCTTGACAGGCACACACTTCATTATCATATTTATTTTCTCATATTACGCGTTGACACGAGCAATCGCGCTTTTTTTCTAACGCATATCACTTATAAATTCGTATGGATATAAAAGGAGGAAAAATTAAAGGTGAAATGTGATACCCGCTATTCATAGTGTTGATAATTACAGATGCCGACAGGGGGCACTTGTTTGGTTCGTATCGTCGAGGTGACGTCACCGATAAAACATCTGAGAAGTTGCGTCTGATGGAGGAAGCGCGGACGTCGCCGCTAGAGGATTGGAAGCAGCCGACTCTCCTCACGTGGCTGGACGTCAGCTTACACATGAACGCCTACCACAGCTACTGCGCCCAGAACGTCAAGAACGGCAAGGTATACATGATGCTATGCGGCTATCCTATCCACAGATCTTCCAGTACGATGATTCTGTATGGTTCATTCTAAACGTCTAATTTCAAAAAGGAATTGCCAGACTAGATAAAGGCCAATCTGAATTTCGTAGGCACGCTTGGGTATGCCTCGCAAGTAACCCGATAAAAATCGCGCCGATGCGGTTGCGGACGGGGTGAAAAGTCTATTTGAGACGCAAACGAGAAATTATTTCGGAAGAGGTTCTTTCCTGCTGGTAATTACAGAGGATCATGCAACGGCTGATAGCAAAAGAACGTTCGCAATACAGACGGATGCGTAAGCATGCGGAGAAATAGATATTGCGCGCAAAATACGCATGCGCATATCATCTAGAAATCAAGACAAATCTACGGCCGAGAGCGTTTTGTAGTCATAGACAATGTTGAATCTGTGTGGCAGTGGAATATTTCACAGCTCAGCGACGTAAGCCGAGGATGAAGGGCATTTATAAGAGTCCGCAATATTTCTAAACCATCAAAACGTTTTTTCGTTCATTTATTGCGGTACACAGTAACATGCATCAGTAAATATTTTCAACAGACACAATTCTATCAGCTGTGACTAAGCAATCTTTCGATGGTGCAATTCACTCTGGTTAAAAAAACGCAACACCCCTTTGCACAATGGCAAACACTTCATATTCCACAGACGCACAAAAATTCAGCAGAGTAATAAAATATATGCAAAGATTGGTACTATTGATCGTTTATAGAAAATATTTATCCACGAAAAATGAATTCATTTTATTCTGTATATGAAATGAAACCTCTGATAGATATAATCTGCTGATTGCCTAAATAACACACTAGAATAACAACGTTTGACGTAACACATACATAGAGTCAGCAAGCCAGAAAGTTGGACAGAAAGACAGACAGGCAAATAGACAGACGGACGGAGGGGCGGACGGAGGAGTGGACGAGCAGAGAGAGTGAGATCTATTAGTGCCGGTGAAATAAGTCCACGCAAAAACGTCCACGTACTTGTTCGTGTATTATTATGAGTGGGTTTGTTCGGACTGACTTATACACGATCATTCATCTTGCTCGATTCAGTCGGTAGTGCACGAAGCCTGTGTTTCTATAGCCGCGTGAGCTTGACCTATGTGCGGTGTGCGCAGCGTCCCGTCAGTCAGCCGTCACATCCCAGCAGCCGAACAACGCGCGTCGATACAACGCTGCTCATGCTTGCCGCACTTTCTAGTCTGATGGCTTTACAGCGGAATTGCGTCCATATTAATTACCATTAATACGCGTAATTATCACTGTTCTCAAAATCTCCGTGCAGTCGAGACTTTCGTAAGTGCATTGCGGCAGCTAAATATTTTAGTGGCGCGGGCTGGCACAAATTTTCGGTATAATGGCCTACTCCGGTGCGCTTGCAATAATGACCCTATTAGATTGATAAGTGCGCGCATGTAGTGCGGTGGATATATTACTCCCACGACTGCATGATATAACGACAGTGTTCCAGCGCGATAGCTTTTTCTCGAGCGACGTTTGTGGTTTTTTATTGTCGCATCGCACGTCCCCTGACAATGTGTCTGTCGTCGTGCGATGTGCCTGTCCACGTCGTGAGTGCGTTGCATACACGCTGTAAAGTTGATTTCGCCACGATTACCCGATGAAAAAAGAGAATGGATTTTTCCCCAATCCTGATTCAACAGCGGCTTAGAAAGTCAATTCACGTTCACGTTAGGGTGACGGGCGCCTTGGCATATACCCGCCTTCTCACTCAATTACATGTGCATTACCGCGTCGTCCACACTACATGCGCGCGGGCGTATTAGCAAATTACGCAGCGAACACGCATCTTGCTACGATTTGGCTTACGGGCGGCGAGCTATCCGCAGCAATTTACACACGTATTTTATCGCCAAACTGCCTAATGGCATTCGAATACGTCTCCGGTCGGTTGCAAAATGAATGTTAATGATAGCAAGTGAGCGCGCACGCACTTGCAACTACGAATTAGTCGAGCGGTGTTTGTGAAAATGCCGGCACACTCAGAGCCGCCCTATAATCCACCGAACATGCCAACTAACTTATAATTGGTTTACCACAGCGTCAGTCCTCACCGCAGTCAGGAGATAGGTGCTTTATGTTGTTACCTAATAAATATACTAAATCAATCAATCTATCAATCAATCAATCAATCCATTAATCAATCAGTCAATTATGGGTAAAAGGATCGATGGTTGATGGATGGATGAATGCGTGAATGGACAGATGGATGAATGGATGGATGGATTGATAGATGGATAGATAGATGGATGGATGGATGGATGGATGGATGGATGGATGGATGGATGGATGGATGGATGGATGGA